CTCATCACTGGTGATACAGCTCAGTCTTGGTGAAGGTCTTAGCTTAGGAGTGGGCGTGTAAGTGTATAATTAACTCATCACTGGTGATACAGTTCAGTCATCAATGGTGATACAGCTCAGTCTTGGTGATGGTCTTAGCCTAGGAGTGGGCGTGTAAGTGTATAATTAACTCATCACTGGTAATACAGCTCAGTCATCACTGGTGATACAGCTCAGTCTTGGTGAAGGTCTTAGCTTAGGATTGGGTGTGTAAGTGTATAATTAGCTCCCTCACTGGTGATACAGCTCAATCTTGCTGATGGTCTTAGCCTAGGAGTTGGCGTGTAAGTGTATAATTAGCTCATCACTGGTGATACAGCAGTCTTGGTGATGGTCTTAGCCTAGGAGTGGGCGTGTAAGTGTATAATTAGCTCATCACTGGTGATACAGCAGTCTTGGTGATGGTCTTAGCCTAGGAGTGGGTGTGTAAGTGTATAATTAGCTCATCACTGGTGATACAGCAGTCTTGGTGATGGTCTTAGCCTAGGAGTGGGTGTGTAAGTGTATAATTAGCTCATCACTGGTGATACAGCAGTCTTGGTGATGGTCTTAGCCTAGGAGTGGGTGTGTAAGTGTATAATTAGCTCATCACTGGTGATACAGCATTCTTGGTGATGGGCTTAGCCTAGGAGTGGGTGTGTAAGTGTATAATTAGCTCATCACTGGTGATACAGCATTCTTGGTGATGGTCTTAGCCTAGGAGTGGGTGTGTAAGTGTATAATTAGCTCATCACTGGTGATACAGCAGTCTTGGTGATGGTCTTAGCCTAAGAGTGGGTGTGTAAGTGTATAATTAGCTCCTCACTGGTGATACAGCAGTCTTGGTGAAGGTCTTAGCCTAGGAGTGGGTGTGTAAGTGTATAATTAACTCATCACTGGTGATACAGCTAGGTCTTGGTGATGGGCTTAGCCTTGGAGTGGGTGTGTAAGTGTATAATGAGCTCCCTCACCGGTGATACAGCATTCTTGGTGATGGTCTTAGCCTAGGAGTGGGTGTGTAAGTGTATAATTAGCTCATCACTGGTGATACAGCTCAGTCTTGGTGATGGTCTTAGCCTAGGAGTGGCTTGTAAGTGTATAATTAGCTCATCACTGGTGATACAGCAGTCTTGGTGAAGGTCTTAGCCTAGGAGTGGGTGTGTAAGTTTATAATTAGCTCATCACTGGTGATACAGCATTCTTGGTGATGGTCTTATCCTAGGAGTGGGTGTGTAAGTGTATAATTAACTCATCACTGGTGATACAGCTCAGTCTTGGTGATGGACTTAGCCTAGGAGTGGGTGTGTAAGTGTATAATTAGCTCATCACTGGTGATACAGCGTTCTCGGTGATGGTCTTAGCCTAGGAGTGGGTGTGTAAGTGTATAATTAGCTCATCACTGGTGATACAGCAGTCTTGGTGATGGGCTTAGCCTAGGAGTGGGTGTGTAAGTGTATAATGAGCTCCCTCACCGGTGATACAGCTAGGTCTTGGTGATGGGCTTAGCCTAGGAGTGGGTGTGTAAGTGTATAATGAGCTCCCTCACCGGTGATACAGCATTCTTGGTGATGGTCTTATCCTAGGAGTGGGTGTGTAAGTGTATAATTAGCTAATCACTGGTAATACAGCAGTCTTGGTGATGGTCTTAGCCTAGGTGTGGGTGTGTAAGTGTATAATTAGCTCATCACTGGTGATACAGCAGTCTTGGTGATGGTCTTAGCCTAGGAGTGGGCGTGTAAGTGTATACTTAGCTCATCACTGGTGATACAGCTCAGTCTTGGTGATGGGCTTAGCCTAGGAGTGGGCGTGTAAGTGTATAATTAGCTCATCCCTGGTGATACAGCAGTCTTGGTGAAGGTCTTAGCCTAGGAGTGGGTGTGTAAGTGTATAATTAACTCATCACTGGTGATACAGCTAGGTCTTGGTGATGGGCTTAGCCTAGGAGTGGGTGTGTATATAAGTGTATAATGAGCTCCCTCACCGTTTATACAGCATTCTTGGTGATGGTCTTAGCCTAGGAGTGGGTGTGTAAGTGTATAATTAGCTCATAACTGGTGATACAGCTCAGTCTTGGTGAAGGTCTCAGTTATACTATTTCCAGTAAGTGACTAAATTATCTAAGTCTTTGCCTTGCAATAAGCCCACCCATATATATTCCAGTAAAGAAATACCTATTCCTGCTATGTTATTGTCCTGTAATAAGCCCACTCCCACTTATGTCAGAAATCATGTGTTGGTTCCCCTGGGTTTATTGCAGTGTTCATATTGGACATTTGATTCCATTGAAGCATGTTTCTAATTGTGACCTACAGTGTCAAAATTAATTCTACAAATTCATTTGTTCAAGTTTGTAGTATGTTCATTGCTGTAATCATTGATGATGTTGACAGGTATGGATTGGTTAGGTCCTGTCCCAAACCATATGGTGTAAAACTCAACAGGGAAACGAATGAGGAGCTGAAGAGCCACTACAAGACTTACCTCAAGGTCAGTCCTAATCCTGGCTTTATTTCACAGACAGTTTTTATTTGAAGGTCAGTCCTAATCTTGGCTGTATCTCACAGTCGGTCCTTATCTGAAGGTCAGCCCTTATCCCTAGGTCAGTCCTAATATCAAAACTTAGTACTAAGGTTAAGTCTTAGGATGTAACTCTATAAAAAGCATCTTGAGATCAGTCATTAGCTAAAGACTAGTATTAAGGTAAATCATAATCTGATACCTATCTCAAGGTATTTCCTCGTTTAGCAACTTACAAAGTCAAACCTTATAGAATTTCTATCTTGCTTTTAACAAATTGTCTCTAGGCGTTATTCTGTACCAAAACCATTGTCTAGGGCAGATTTACCTCAAGTTAATTCCATATTTGTCCTAGGAATAATTGTAACCCTTTTAAAAGCTATTATCTCCCCTTAACAGGATACTGGCGAGGTACTTATGCCTCAAGACCTGAAGAAAGCCCAGACCTATGGTGGTTGCAGGATACTATTTGAGGATGATGAGGTTACTGAAATCAAGCGGTTTGGAGAGTCGGGTAGGTCCTGAATACATTCTGTCTAATTAAGTCACATATCTTACAGGGTTAAGTTACATGTTACTTATAGTACCAGAAATACACTCTGATATCTCCACAGGTTTGGGGACATTTGCATGGCTCTATCTACTGTGTATTACACTGAATGAATATATTTGTGTCACTGTATTTGACTTAATACATGCTGATCTTTTTTAAGGGCTCCCTATCCTATCTTTCTGTTCGAGTGTCCTATTCCTTCTCAATAAATTTCCAACTTTCTTGAAAATCACCAATAACACTGCTCCCCCTCTGATTTTCATGATTATACAAATTTGTTTTGTTTTGTTTTTTGTTCAAGACTCGATGGTTGTAAAGGCAGTCAGGTGGGCTTAATACTATTATAAAATGAAGCAGTGGATAAAATGTACCCCTTTTTAGCTCACCTGCCCAAAGGGCAACTGGTGATATGCCAAGGCGCGGCGTCCGGCGTCCATCCGGCGTCAATATTTTACTTTAAACAACTTCTTCTCAATAACCAAACAGCCCAGGGTACTGATATAGGGCCTGTAGCATGCTGGGACGAAGGGCTACCGAGATTGTTCAAATTAATGACCTTGACCCACTTTCAAGGTCACAGGGGTCAAATGTCTTAAAATCTTCAAATGACTTCTTCTCAATAACCAAAACGCACAGGGTACTGATATTTGGCCTGCAGGCCTGCAGCATGTTGGGATAAAGGGCTACCAAGTTTTTCAAATGAATGACCTTGACCCACTTTCAAGGTCACAGTANAAGGTTTGTTAGTACTATTTCTCAGGAATAACTTGAGGGATCTTTCACAAATTTGATATGTAGGTTCCCCTTCATCCCTCGTTGTGCATGTTATATTGTGAGACTGATCATAAAAACAAAATGGCTTAAGGAAGAACTAAACAGATCTTTCTCATATTGCAATGATCAACTCTATTTCTTTCACATTAAGTACTGTACTAGTAAATATGTGAAATGACAAACTCACTTTGAAGGTTGTCTTTCATACACATCAGTATTCATTTTAGATCAAAAAGTTACCTCAAGGTGCATTTATTGTTAACATGACTCAATCAAACAGATTAGAGGAAAGAATAGAAAAGATCAAACTGACAAAGAACTAATGGAGATGGTACAATGGTGGGCACCAACATCCCTCTGGGATCTCTTGTTTATAATAATATCCCTTTTTACCTGATCAGGTTTACCATTCCATAGAAAATTTTACAATGTATTGTTAATTTGTTTAATATATAAGTCATTATTATTATTATCAACAACTCTTATGCTTTAGGAGCTTTAACAACAATCATGAACCATATGTGTTGTATCATGTCATAAAAGAAAATTGAAAATGAATTAACATTTTTTTAAAAAAACATAAAATTGAAGCAGTATATTTTCAAGAAAAAAATATCAATTTGTGACTGTTGTCACCTTGATCCATTTTGTCGGGCTAACAGATTTTAACAGATTTTGGGCAAGTGGAGTTTTAAGTGACTTCTAGCCAAGGCTAGTAGCTTGAAAAACAATTTCACCCCTGACAGTACCTCCAGTGAAATAGGTTATCTAAATATGTTGTTTTGCATTATGTTCAGGTTTAAAGTTGATGGGCTTCAAGCCATGCAGCAAACTAAAGAAGTATTATCATGTTAAGCCTGCCCAGTTCCTGTATCCAGATGAGAGTGTAAGTTTTATGGGTTTTATTGGAAAACTAATGTGACAAAATATTAAAAATAAAACCTCTAGGTATGGGGTTGATGAAGTGAGTCAGGAAATGGGTTTTTGTGCGAGTCTTAATGCCAAATCAGTTTGGACTAAGTTTCATCAATCTCATTGAAGGTACTCTCAAGAAGTTTAGGGTCATAATTATTTAGGAATTATAAAAGGCAAATGTTTTCGTACAGTGGTTTTATGTTTGCTGTTTTGAAGTCTCACCATGGTATACGTTCCTGTTTCTTTTCTATCTGAAAGGTTACACTTCTTTGAAATGAATATTCTATAGTAATATTGATATTTGCAACAACATTTAAATATTTTACAGACGGTCATTGGCAGTACAACTTTATTCACTGCCTTGCTGAAGAAGTGCCTGGAGCGAGATGTGTTTGCATTATGTCGATATATTCCTGGTAAAAACATGGAACCTCGATTTGTGGCCCTTCTTCCACAGGTAAGTTAACTAAGTTACAGCAGACTTTGTTAACCGGAACTAGGACACGAATTATATGCTCCAAACTTGAACATATTCCCAAATTGACAATCTATAAATTCTATACTTACAGAGAGACAAGTAATATGTTTTTCGTGGATGGGGGGGCCGGGCCCTGAAGGGGAACTTAGCTAAATTTGCTTTAAAACGCATCCTCTCCTAAACACCAGAGAGGATTTCAACCAAATTCAGTCTGAAGCATCACTAGGTTATAGGGCCTTTGCAACTAGCCAATAACTTTCTCAACTTCCAGGGGTGTTGGCTGGTGCTGTCATTTTGGTGCTCACAGCTAGCATTCCACAATTCTAGCACTGCCCAACCACATACTCATTTACAGCTGAGTAAACTGGAACAAGCGGAGTAAAGTATCTCGCTCAAAGATTCAATACAATGCCTTGCAGTGACTCGAACTGGTATATAACTGATAGGTAGATTTAAGCACAAACAATAAACTACAATAGTAGTAATACTATACTTTATACTCACGAATATTGTCAGGCTGAGGAGGTTGATGATCACAAGGTTCAAGTCACACCTCCAGGGTTCCATGTCATCTTCATGCCGTTTGCTGATGATTTCCGAAAAGTGAAACTTGAGGATGCACCACGAGGTACGTTAAAAGCATCGTTTGTAATCAGAAAAAATGACAAATTTAATTTTGCTGTCTCTTTCCATTCTGTCTGCTTTGTTCAGCAGTTTTCATAACTGTTGTAGAGGAGGCCTGATATGATATCAGTCAGAGTTCTCCCCAGAATGTTTTGAAAGAAGCATGGTATTTCAATATTTCTGTTAAAGCAGCATGGTAACTTTAGATTTACTATGAATATATAGCAGAGAAGATCTAGGATAGCAGCATGGCAAGAAAGTATAGGAGCATGGTGCCATGCTGCAAAAACATCCTGGGGAGAACACTGAATATGAGGTACTGCATTTTTGTAATGTATTTCTAAAACCTTATCTTGCACTATGTGGAGACGACACATCAATCAGAATACACAGGTCTTTGGTAGTTTTCATCAGAAATATGATGACCTCGTTATATTGGATTAGACAAAATGTCTGAATATTCAAGGGTCATATGAAATTGGAAAAACTAGGAAAGTCATCTTAAAAGAATATAAAAAATGAAGAATATAAGAATTCTGTGTGTAAAATAATTAGTTGGATAATCTATTCACACTTTCAAAAAACAATTATATCAAAATATGTGACAAATAATAATTCTGCAAAATAAATAAGCATGTCTTTACTATTTTGTCTTCTGTAATTTCTTATCAGCCAACAAAGACCAGATTGACAAGGCAAAGGAACTGGTGAAGAAGCTCCAGTTCAAGTTCTCGAGTGAGAGCTTTGAAAACCCTGTCCTACAGAAATATTGGAGGAACATTGAGGCCCTGGCTCTAGATCGCGATGCGCCAGAGGAAATGACTGATTACACAAGTATGAGCAAATTCTGCACGGATTTCAATTTCTATTTTAAGAAAAGTCTGGGAAGGAATATGGTATTTGTAATATGCTGTTTAATGGCATAAAGATTAACTAACACTGTATTTTAAAATGATATCTTTTCGAATTAAATTGTAAGGAATGACCCAAAAATTTAGGAGGGTTATATGGCATAAATAGAAAAAAGAGTTTGTATTGTTTTTTTGGGTGTACCACTTCACAGGATTATTGCTGACTGCTCACATTTTATTTTTGCATAATCTTGCAATAAAAGAAGGTATCCTCACAACATGTTTAATGTTTCAGTGCCCAATGAGAAAGGAATGGAGAAAAGGGCAGGAAAGATAATTCAAGAGTTCAAAGACCTTGTATTTCCTGATGGCTATGAACCAGGGGCTAAAAGGGTAGGTCTCTTCCAAAAAAGAAGTCCTGACATATTGGTTGTAGAATTTTCCATGCATGCGAATATGTCCTAAAGTCTTAAGAATAAACAGTCAGATGCTTTATAACCAAACTTTCAATTAATGTAAAGGTTCTAAATTTATATCACCAAAGCTAAATACCATTTCATATTGCTTCAACATAGGAAAAATCCTATTCTCATTTGTGTCACAACATCTTAATATCATTCCAATAGGTGTCACAACAACGCAGTACTTTTCTTTTTGCATCCTCAGAAAGCTCCAGCGAGTGCTGATCCTGTCGCTAAGAAGGCTAAGTTGGAGGGAGCTGTTGCTTTGTTAGATGTTAAGAAGGAGGCTCAGGAAGGCCGGGTAATTAGTTTCTGATAATAGTTAAAACATCAACATATCCACATCCCCCCACATCCCCCCCACACCCTAACCACATTGAATGTGGTGAAGAACAGATATTAAGCGATTACTTTAAGACACAGTTTTAAAGGTATATGCTTTCTCCCACACTTCACCTGTGCATTCCTGGTTTTGCTAGAGAAACATAGAATGTTAGGGGTGATGGATTTTAATAGTCTTACTGTGGCCTTAAGTTCTTTTCCTTAAGAGCACCACACTAAAGACACCAGTTAGATATCTGTTACAATGGGTCATTGGAATGAATTAATTGGTAAAACATCTGAAAGGAATAGAAAAAAAACTATGAATTGATGACATGTGCAAGAGTACATGTATTGATAAGGGACACAAATATACATGTTTTGATGACAGGTACATAGGAACACATGGTTTGATGAACAATACATAGGAATACATGGTTTGATGAACAATACATAGGGATACATGGTTTGATGAACAATACATAGGGATACATGGTTTGATGAACAATACATAGGAATACATGGTTTGATGACTGGTACACAAGAAGTGATTCTGAATTACAAAGATGGTAAAGGAGAGAGTTCTAACAAACCACAGGTTTCAGGTGTGAGGTACCAAAAGCACAGACAATACTGGCGAAAGGACCATTATTGGGATTTGGTTTTATTTTGCCACCTGTAACTTACTGTTCCAGTTGTCAATTTGTATGCTTGTGACATAATGAGAAACACAAAATGAATCTTAACAACAACAAAAATAACATATACATACTAAAGAGTTGCTTATTCTCTAGATTATATTGTGATCATCCACTTTTAGAGAACAAGTAAAAAGAACCGAAGTCGAGGACAACATTTTTCTCTCACCCTGGACAGGTGTATCAACCACTTTTACTCGTGTGAGATATCCTTTTCTCTCATTTTCCTGTGTGTAAGATAGAGCTGTCCAGTGTAAGAAAAGAGTGTAGGACATTTCTATCTTATACCCCATTTCACGTGACGTCTAAAAAGCTGGGGGGGGGGATTGATATTTTCAAAATGGTAACTAGCTAGTCCAAACGCATTTTCATGGTTTCTGGGCTTATTCTAGTGGTTGGAATGAGAGAAAAACACTCTTTCATGCCCACAGGTTTAGAATAGAGAAATTCCACCCTCGGGATTTTCAAACTTGGCAAAATCTGAGGTTTGCCATTCACATTACATTATGTATATGATACACAGGGAAAGTTTCTTAAGTTGCCAAACACTCAGCAAAGCCTATTGTTTGGCAACTTAGAATCTTCCCCTCGGGTTGAGATTCCCCTATCTCATCCTCAAGGGGGTGAGAGATTCTATTAGTTCCCAACCTTTTACACAATGTCATGCATTCTATATCAAACTTCTAAACATTTCCCCTGTCTTCCCAGCTGTACAACCTGCTAGCAGCAATTTGGGAAGTCATCTTGTGAAAGACATATCTCCTTTCACAGGAAATCCTATCCTTCACTCACACGAATCACCACACAATCAGGATAACCCATTTTAGATGACTGCATTAATGTTGATGTTTTATGAAGTAAGTCACATGTTTATTTATGATTTTTTTAAATCCTTTCAGCTTGGCAAGTTGACTGTGGCCGTACTGAAGGAATTAATCAAGCGTGAAGGTATCCCGGCCTCAGGATCAAAGAAAGCCGACCTCGTTGATTGTATTAACAGTTACTATGGCGTTTCATAGGGCAGAGGTTATTGCAGCTATCAACAACAGCTTTACCTTTTTCTTGTCCAGGAATAGAACAACATTGCAACAAAAACCTTCATTAGGGATTTAAAAGACAAATCACATTGAAATTCTCTGTTTCATTCTACAATGCGCCATAGGACCCCTTTGATATTGTTTGAAAAATTCAGCCCAGAAACTGATTCAAATATATCACTTATCTGTGGTGTATCACCTGGAGATGAATATTTTATTTTTGAATTATTGCTCGAAAATTGTACCAAGAGGGTCTTTTAGCAATGTTAGAGGTTTAACACTGCTAGATACTCTCAACAGACTCAGAAGTTGTAAGATTCTATAGAAACTGGTAGACCTGCAACATCTTATGGTATAGCTTAACCTGAATGGTTGCTATTTTTTGTCTGCATCATGCAGGTTGTTTGGTGTCTTTTCTTTTCCGACATGTTGGCAGATCAATATTGAAATGCTTGAATGGTGTTAGTCATTTAATGCAATTGCAGGCTTTTAAACCCCTATTGATCATGTAAAAAATGTAGCACTATCAATTATACAAATATTGCAAACGTGCATCATGGAATATGTTTGAACGGAACTGTGTTGCATACCCTCATAAATTTTAAAAGATGCATTTCAAACCTAAAGTTGTGCAATGTTTATTGTGGCATTTGCATTGTCTTTGTTGTGTTTGACTAAAAATTTAGGTATTAAAGTGTTGGGAGACAAAGGTCAATCAGTGTGTAGTTATATGGGATATGATATCCTACCATCAGGTGTGGAATTCGGTGTTAGAACCTCAGCGAAGCCTCAGTCCTGATCCAGATTCTACACCTCCAGGTGTAAGTAATGTTGTATTGTGATAGTTTAGCATAACAGTATTTATATTGATGATTTGATGGACAAAACTATAATTTGTTTGTGTACATGTATGTGTTATTTTTTGTATTTTGTTTTTTTCACATTAGCGACAACTACAACGCTTTAAAAAAAAAAACATACAGAAGCAATCAACACAAAAAACTTCATTTGAAGCAGACATTCAATATTATCACAAAGGGCTGCCCCCTAATTATTACAATTATTGTAATAACTTTATAAAGATCCAACGCAGTCTGCCCCCAGTGCCTGGATTTAAACCTGTACAAACCAACACAACATGGTTCAAAGCAGTCAGATGCTCTAGAATGACCAGCAGAAGCAGGATGTTCATTATACAGCAGAAACGAAACATTTTGGAAGTGTCATCACATATATTAAACATAAGTCCAATGGCGTGGATATTGTCTGATGTAGAAAGTTTATTCATGTTTTCTACACCAAGTGAGATATGATCATCAGGGATTTCTCTAGGGAGAACCAGATGTTTACATTATATTCCTTAGGGTATTGGCAGACATCCAGGTACCACATTAACATTACTGATATATAAATGTTTTAGTATTTTCTATTCTACTGATCAATAACTTGACTTTGTTATGGTGAGCTAGGATCATGTGGATAATGTCTGATGAACACAGAATAGTTGTGTTAATGAATTATTGACAAACATTATATTCTAGGATATAAATAAATGATTTTAACAAATTGTTTCTTTGATGAGTTGTGTATACTGCCTTAGAAGTAGTATCTGGTCAATTCTGTGGGGAAAAAATCTACCATCAATTTCAATATCCTATATGTACAAAAATACATGTATTTGAGGGTTTGCATTCATTTTGTGCAAGTTATGTTTACCTCCTCGGTATAAATGAGGCCATATGACTTTACCAAGATAGTGTGATTTAATAGCTCATGGAGTTAACATCAGGTCTAGGAAGTCGGATTTATTCTGATTTAGCTGGGCTTAAAAAACTTGTATTCGTCAATATTTGTGGAGTTGGACAGATCTCTTTTTACCCTTACTTAGGTAAGGATGGTACACACTAACTGATATGTCAGTGAATGTGTCTGCCCATAGTCTAAAGATTCCATACACAATATCTCGTGATCCTCTAAATAGTTACAGTGATATTTACGCCATTGTATAATGTTATCAAGCTCTATAACAGATATGCATTTGGTGGTCTTGGGTCACAGTTGAAGGGTTTAAGGTCAAACTAGACCCTATTTAAGTTAGAAGTATGTGTACAAAATTTCTCATGATCCCTCCATTATGCTGTGGTGCGTTGGCCGTCCAGCGTCAATATTTTACTTTAAATGACTTCTTCTTAATAACAAAAAGGCCTAGGCTGATGATATTTAGCCAGAAGCAAACTGGGATGAAGGGCTACCAAGTTTGTTCAAACAAATGACCTTTACTTATATTCAAGGTCACAAGGNGCTACCAAGTTTGTTCAAATAAATGACCTGAACCTATATTAAAGGTCACAGGGGTCAAATATGTTAAAAACTTTAAACAACTTCTTCTGAATAACCAAAATTCCAAGGGTAATGATATTTGGCCAGTAGCATGCTGGGATGATAGGCTACCAAGTTTGTTCAAATTAATGACCTTCACCCATTTTCAAGGTCACAGGGGTCAATTGTCTTAAAAAATCTTTTAAACAACTTCTTCTGAATAACTTGAGGCCTAGGATAATGATATTTGGCCAGTAACATGCTAGGATAAAAAGCTACTAAATTGTGTTAAAATGAATGACCTTGACTCATATCCAAGGTCACAGGGGTCAAATATGTTTAAAACTTTTAAAAAACCTCTTCTGAATAACCAAGAAGCATAGGATAACGATATTTGGCCAGTAACATGCTTGAACAAAGGGCATCAAAGTTTGTTCAAACAAATGACCTTTACTTATATTCAAGGTCACAATTGTCAAATATGTTTAAAACCTTCAAATGACTTCTCAATAACCAAGAGGCCTAGAATGATGCTATTTGACCAGTAGCATGCTGTAATAGAGGGCTACAAAGTTTGTTCAAATGAATGACCTTGACTTATATTCAAGGTCACATGGTTCAAATATATTCAAAATCTTTAAAACGACTCTTCTGAATATCCAAGAGGCATAGGATAATGATAATTGGCCAGTAACATGCTGGGATTAAGAGCTACCAAGTTTGTTCAAATGAATGACCTTTGCTCGTATTCAAGGTCACAGGGATCAAATATGTTTAAATCTTTAAATGACTTGTTCTGAATATTCAAAAGGTCCAAGGTAATGATATTAAGCCAGAAGTATGCTGGGACGGAAGGCTACATGTATAAACTTTCAAGGTCACAGGCGTCATATGTTTAAATCATTTAATAGATTCAAATGGATCAAACACAGATATTTTGCCTGTAGCTGTATATTAGTCCACTTTTAAGATTACATGAGATTACATGTTTGAGATTAATACAAGGTGAGCGATTCAGGCCCATTGGACCTCTTGTTCTTTTACCTGAGATCAATCAAATAGCTAGCAGCGTGCCTTCAACTTTGCAATGACTTATTCCAGGAGTGCAGAGAGCGTTAGTGAGCGTAACCCCTGGTGTTTCGAGAATGGTCCTCCGTGATATTTAACTGTAGCTGTCTGGTGTGGAGGGCTATCGAGTTTCTTGAAATGAAAGTCATGAATCCACCTTCGAAAGCATATGAAGTTTTTAAAAGCCTTGTAAAAACCCGAAAGACAAGATGTTCTAGATGTATGGTATGCAGCCCATGTCTTACCAAGAGGGAGGGGTTTATGACATTGCACACCTTCGTATGATGAGGTCTCAGATTGCAGATCCAACATGCGAGCGGAAACTACCGAAATGAGAAGATTTAGCAGGAACGCACAGACATTGCATCTTGTATGACACCGGAGGTTCCAAACTAGGATTTTGACTTTTGTTCAGAAGATTTTCCCGTTGATGTGTCGGCATAGCCAAACGTATCAAGGTTATCTGGGGAAGGAGCAACCCAGACCGGGTTGAGTGGTAAAAGGCCAAACTTAAAGAAGGAAACCGTTGAAGTGGGGAAAAAAGCGATAAAAGCATTAAAAAACAGCTAGATGACTAATAAGATAGTATTTTTGAAACAATGCTATATTGTGCACAAAAAAATCTCAATCACTTGCCTTCGTCTACAGTCGGCTGTGGTAGAATTTTGCATGTGGAGTAAATAAAACAAGGATAGCCCAAAAACAAAATAGGAAGCTGTAGGAAGTGACAAAGCGGCAAAGGTGCTGGAACTATGATAAAATAACGATAACAGAAAAACAATTAACAACGGCGCTGGGATAACATTCGGAAGCACTTGAGCATATGGACTTTGATAAAACTGTGACAGGAAGAAATAAGAGAAATGCAGCTTTCAAGTTCACACTTTCTGTCGTGTCTGGTCGGATTGATTGGTTGGAAGACAGAAGGTGAGGAATGCTATCTGAAAGAGACCTATATGCTGTATTGCATTTGGTAAATGAAAATCTCAGATGAATCAAAAAACAAAATACGCCCTGTATATAGGTATTATATATCACCTGTTATACTCCGTGATGATAGCGAAACTAACGCCGCAAGTGAGACTACTGCCGACCAGGGATTTGTGGTATACAAGAGCCCTTGTACACAGTTGTTTTTTGAGCCATAGAGGGTCAGAATGAAGTTCAAACCAGTAAAATCCAAGGACAGTTCGTCAATAAGTGAGGGAGGTTACGGGAAAGATTCACGAGGAAGAGATACCAGGTATCAACGACTGTAGACAATGGGAAGAAGATTGGTGCTAGCTTAACAGACGCCAAACATCAGACGATTGCAAACCGAGAGGGAAGAAAACTTAGGAGGGTTGATAAGAAGGTTGTCCTGACAATACAAGACATGGATTAACCAACATGGGCTTCTTCCCTTTTCCTCGTCTTTAACACCAAATGAGGTCACAGAAGAGACTTTTGTAAGGAATGTCAACAAATGCCTTCGCAGGTAGTTTAACAATATAAAACAAAACAGTCAGAATTACAGCTTCAAATATCATCGTTTGGGGAAGGACTCAAAATGGCGAAAGCCGGATTGGCGATGACCGTTGGGAAGACCAGAAGAGCAGAATATGAGAAATGCCGGAGTTGAGACTGGGACTGGACGGAAGCGACAGAAATGCCGGATTGAAATACATTGTGCGACATTGTTGATACAAATACAAGCAGAAATGGATTCGAAACATCACACGTACAACGATGGAATCATCAAATGCAGTTGGTATAGTGAATTTAGTCCTAGGTATTACAGAAGCATTGAGGAGATTACTTAGGCAGAATTGGTGGCGAAGGCAGCGCTTTGTGCATTGAGTAGATATCGGACAGCACATAAGGTTGTCAGATACATAAACAAGAATTTTAATCATGGTTCAGGTCATTCTTCGATCGGTGTTTGACATTTTAGACAATTATGTTTTTGGGTGCATCAAAATTGCCAATATGTTGCTAAACTGGGTACCGAGTCTACGTGCTAAAGCGGCGCAACAATATCGAGAAATCCTTTCGATAAAGTCGAATGTTCATTTTAGGATACTGTTAGATTTTGTGGAAGAATACACCAGTCAATGCGCAAAACGAGTCAAAATCTATCAGGTCCATCATTCAAAATAAAATTATTTTAAAATCCAAAATGAAAATAAAACACATCTTCTACATGTATAAAGGCGTATAACTGGGTTTTTTTAATGTTCATGCCGATATCAATACTTTCAGTATTTGAAAAAATCCAGTCGGCATAATCATAGTTATTATATATATTACTCACATTTTGCTAAGGAATACTCTTATTTTTGGGCATATGTGAAAATAAATATTTTTTGTTAAAAAATTGATTTAATTCATCAGCATGCAAAAATTCCAAAAATCGCAATTACAGTCGGAAAATGAGCCACAGGAAAAGGGTTACCCTTAAAATTGGTATCAACGAGTTAGTCAGTAAAACTTAAATTGAACAAAACTCATCCTAAATAAACAGAAACTGTTTTAGTATCGAGTGTGACGTCCATGAGCAGCAATTACAGCTTCACAACGCCTGCGCATGCCCCGAATGATATCGCATATCCGGTTTTGTGGGATAGCGTTCCACTCGGCTACCAAAGCTGTTTCCAGCTCCTGAGCGTTCTTGGCTGAACTTTTCTGGTAGAGAAAGCTGTTGCAACATGTCCCACACATGCTCGATGGGATACTGGGCCGTAACGGTAGGCCTACCATTATGGAAGACATGGAGGTCAGTTTTGCAACAAAGGCTTATGCCTCCCCACACCATCACTGAACCTCCACCATATTGGTCATGTTCCACAACGTTAACTGCCTGGAACCTCTACCCAGATTGTCTCCATACTCAAACGCACCAGTCGGTGAAGTCGAGACAGAATCTGGACTTGTCAGTAAAAAGAAAAATTCCTGAAGAGTCCAAGTGCTGTGAGCTTGGGCCCAATCTAATCGGTCCCTAACATGGCGGGCAGTTAAGGAAACTCGTATTGCATCCCTACACACATTTCATATTTTGAATTTCACCTACAGTTTACCGTTAATTGGACTTTGTTAAATAATTGTACTACATTTTGTATGTTAAAGTTTTCCGTTTAGCTGGGGGTTGAGCTAAATTTCATAAAAGTACATGTGCTGTCATAACCAAACCTGGA